GTTCTTCGCAGGGCGCGAGAACTACCACGTACGTCTAGCCACCGCGCGTGAGAGAAGGCTGCTGTTTCTAATTTCAGGTCCCCCGCGAACAGGCCCTCCTCCTGCACATGAGGAACTCGTTCCAAAAATCAACCGCAGCTCCGCTCTTCCCGAATTTTCAACTCTGGCCGAAGGTATCTTCAAATAAGGCTTAAGTGCAGTTTACTGCCCCCCCCCCCCAGTCGATCTCGGCTCCGCGTTATCGTACCGGTAGAACGTAGACGTAGCGTAGTAAAGTATACCAAAATACTCGCCAGAGCAAGGTGAACGTTTTTATATACTTTACACACCTGTAGACCAACAGGGAGCCGAGATACAAAAGTTGGGTGCCGGCTGGGTGCCGGCTGGGGGCCGGGGGGTAAAACTGCACTCTAACCTAAAATACTCCTGCCTGACGAACGGGAAATTGTTCAGGAGCAAATGGACGAACGCCTCGCCAAAATGGCCGACACGATTCGAGAGATATTCCGCGACGGGCCGCCGAATTATCGAACCTCCACGTTGCCCGCGTCAGAAAAGTGCACGTAAGGCTGTTTTGCCAAATTTTGGCAGCTTTTCGATCCTTGCAAACCTATTAGAAGGTTTCTTGGCTACGATTTACAGCCGAAAGGTTTTGGCTATAACTTTTTATTTTACGTTCAAATTAAAACTCTTCGTATATTTTTCGACGCTCTCTCGAGTCGCATCGCGAAAATCTCGAAAAAATTGCGGAAGATCGACAACTTTGAGACCCTTCGGCTGCGGGAGCGGGGGGGGGGTAAAATAAACTCTTACCTGTTTCTAGACGATTTGTAACTATTTAAACTTGACAAATAAACTAAATTTTATTAAAAAAAGGTCAAAAAGATAATTTTTCGATCAGTTTTTCGGCATGCTGATAGTGTTGGCCGCGACGGCGACACGCAACGCGCGTGCCTACCCTCCCATTACCTAGCTGATCAAACGATCAAAATTGACCTCTCGGGGTGCGCGTTGGGTGTCGCGGGCGGCGCCGAATCTATAGCCGACCCCTTGGATACCCCTTTAATAGGTCTCTAATGGCGAATCCTTCCTAAAGCTTGAATTCAGGAGGGTGTGGCCGAGTTGCTGGAATGCCGGCGCCAGCTGTTTCACTTCGATGAGCAACCATGATGATTGGATCTACGCGACGCCGACGCCGCAAAGCTTCCACATTCCTGTCTAATATGATAATCATCGTCTGTGTGTTTTTCGGCCTGTGTGCCAGCATTTTTTTCTTGGCCAATGGGTGGGCCAATGTGAATAAATGGGTGGCGGCGGTTTTTGAATAAATATTTCGACCGAATTAATTGGCCATGGTGCGCATGGCGAAGGCGCGATGATGATGAAAATGATGGAAAGGTTGGATTTTTTGTTTTGGCCTTTTTCGATCTGGGGTGGTACCAAAGTAGATTTAACCACCCTGATTTAACTACCCTGGTTAAAGTTTAACCACCCATGGTTAAATTTTAACCATCCATGGTTAAATTGTAACTACCCATGGTTAAAATTTAACCACCTAACACGAAAAAATTTAACCACCCATCCAAAATCAATTTATCCCATTTATCGATAGAAATTCTTTGGAAGAAAGCAACATGAACCGAATTTATCACTTTCTAAACGATCCGTGACCCTATGTAGAAAGCGGCGGCCTTCCCAGGGCCTTCCGGAATCGAAATGGGACTCCTCAGTGCATTCGGTCTTTTTGGCGCGTTCCGAAAATGTAGACCATTTTTTATAATGTTTTTAGTAGTTTTTGGTTGCTAGGAAGTTACAGAAAAAAAAAACATTTTTAGATATTTTGAGCTTTTTTGGCCACTTTTCATACAATTTTTACCAACAAGTCCAAATTTTCTCGAAAAATGTTATGAGTTTTTCGGATTTTTTATATCTAAAAAAGCATAAAATACTATAAAAATCGCCTATATTTGGTAATAGAGCCGTCCAAAATCAATGCGCGAATCCCCCGCGAAAGAAAGCCAATTTTTCGAAAAAATTATGATTAAGTTACACTATACGAAAGGACTAGGTAGACGTGGACAAAAAGACTGCTGCGGTAGGACCAGGCCCGTACGGGAGCCGAGATTTCCGGGGCACCCACCCAAAATTTTTAGAATTTAGAACCCAAAATTTAGAAAACCACGTTCGTAGCGCTTAAATTCGTGTGAAAACACATCGGAAACGGTATCGAACAACGATAACAAAGTATCGAAAATATGCGGATTTATCGGAACGATGACTGGGAAGTGATGTCTAAAGAGAGAATATCAAAAAAAGTGCGGAGTGGGTGGGCGGAGTGCTTCCGTTTTAATCTTTGATGAAAATTTTTGCCATCCGAAGCCGGGAGGTGGCTAACTTTATCCTAAATAAATTTAGCTAGGGTGGTTATATATTTCGTGAAAACGTTTTCACGAAATATATAACCATGGGTGGTTAAATTTTTGAGGCGACTTTTTTGCCTATAAACCACCCCCTACGGCCCTAATATCCCTTCCACTTGCTAGAATATCGTCTAAAGAAACCATATTCATCTTATTGAGGAGTTTGAATTTTCGAGGAATTTTTAACACGGTTTATAAAAAGTATTACTTTTTGGGTGGTTAACTTTTTTGGTTTTGGCCCTCGATGGTTAATGTTTAACCACCTATGGTTAAAAATTAAACCATGGGTGGTTAATACTTAACCATGGATGGTTAAAATTTAACTATGGGTGGTTATGTTTTAACCATAGTGGTTAAATTTCCAAGCCCCTTTCTAGCCGCTTGCAAATATTGTACCAAGAAAAGGTTAGCGGTATTCGATCAAGCGTTTTAAGACACCTATCCGTGAATTTTGCGATGTTTCTAGACCTCTTAATTGTCGTAGAAACCATCCTCCAAAAGTTAGCTTTTTACCATCGGTTTTGGGCGGTTAAAATTTAACCATGGGTGGTAAAATTTTAACTATGGGTGGTTATAATTTAACCATGGTGGTTAAATTTTAACCACGGTGGTTATGGAGCTTTGGTACCACCCCAGGTGATCGGGAACCCCAGCAGCGCTCACAAGCCCCGTCCTTTCCCAGTTTTTGGTCAGGAGGGCAATTTGGTTCGGGACCAGGCCATCTTGGGCAGAATTTGTGCTGATTCCGAATCCGATTGCCAAATTTGCAAATGAGTCCGGGTTTAAAAGTTGTGGAGCTTTTCAAAGGCCGTTTGAGGGAGGACCGAAATAGGCTTGGCACAGTTTTTTTCGACCCTGTTTTTTTTTTGACGCCATCGGATAGAGCATGATCGTATTAGTAGGCCCATATAGTTTTGAAAGTTTAAATGATTGATTTTTGGGGTTTAAAGGGCCGTTAAAGTTGCCGACATCGAAAACCTATCTCGACAATTACCGGACCAAATTTCCTGAAAATTTGTGACAATACCTAATTTGGAATGGAGATCATTTCTCTAATACATTTCGAAAGCTGAAAATGGCTGGAACATAGGAATCTCGCGTTTTTAAAAAGATTTTCTGCTTAATGGGAAATCGGCGGCATCCTGGAAGTAGCATAGAAAGATGCGCCAATTTTTTCTACGAATGATGTGTCTTTTAGGGTGCCGCCGTTTCCCCCCATCATCTGTAAACACGGAATTTTCTTGATGATAAAAAGAAAAATATCCAGGGCTGGTACCAAAACGGAAAATATGGGCCCCCATCATGGGTACCCATACAAAAACTACGGGTACCTATACAAATTCTATATTTCGGTTCCGCTACGGGCCTGGATACCAGTCAGCCACAGCTACAACCTGGCAAGGGGGCGAGGGGCGCCCCACGGCGCAAAGGAGGGGAATGGCCTTCCACGGCACGGGCAGGCAGTGCGCGCGGTCCCTATGTCCATAGGGTGGACACGTTGGGACGAGTACACGGGCCCTCCCTGAACGTGCGCTTTAAGCAGAAAATCTTAAACAACTCTTTTTTGGTGCGCGAGTTTCCTGTGTTCCAGCCAATTTCAGGTTTCGAAATGTATTAGAGAAATAATCCCCATCCCAAATTAAGTATTGACGCAAATTTTCGGCCAATTTGGGTGATAAGTTTTCGAGATAGTTTATTGTGGTCGGCAACTTTACCACCAATTTAAGACGTAAAAAAATTTTTGAACTTTGAAACTATGCAGCCTTACTGTCAGGTTGAAACGAAAGTTTGGTCGCCGAGTTTTCGGGAAGCTGGCTAAATTGGTAGATAGCTCCATTCTGCCCATGCGATATGTCATTTTGTAGCTTTCGGCTTGAACCGTTCCTTGAGGAGGGTCATGGGCTCGCAAAAACAAGAACGGCCGAGATCCAAGCCAAAGCACTTTTTTCAAAAATTACGCAGAAGTGTTTTTGCAAGTTATCTCTGCATCGAGCAGTTTGCATCAGTTTACGCCAATCGATAGCTCTCGAGGAGTAGATATCGATAGATCTTGAGATCATCTAAATTGGACACTAGATCGCCGAGATATGGGCCCCAGAAATTCAGCCCATTTAATAGAACTTTTCCCGAAATCCCATACATTTTGTCAAATACGCTGCCGACCAAATTTATGGGCCGCATTTGACTGGAACAGAATTCCCATTTGGAAGCGTTTTTTCGCAATTTTACAGACCGACACAGCCTGCCGCCTGATTCAGAGACCAAAAATTTTTAAATTAACGCCTCGCACAGCCCCAAATTTCCAGCAGCGGCTGAATCACTGCCCGCTCAAAGTGTTGTCTCCCTGGCACCAAATGGGCCCTCTTTGTTTTTTCCCCGAGCACGGCTCATCATGCACCGGCGGCGTCGATCGGTGCATAAAAGGAGGAAACTCTCGCTTTAACAAACTGAATTTCTTTGTATCACGCCCATTATCAAACCCTTTTTTTCGTAAACTCCTTGATTATAAGCGGGTTTTACTGGCGTGGCGCTTTCAATACAAGATAATGGAATTATGTGTTTTTTAAGCAAACGGCCGGCATGCCGTTTGACCGCCTCTGTGCGGTGATGGTTATCGCTTTCGTTGCGGTAACGTCAGCCGATCCTGAAACCACGGGTGGGCCAACATATCATAAATTTGAGGCATAGATTAACTTTTTAGAGGCCGTTCAAATCTTCGCGCGGCCGTTGCGAGTCGGAGACATCATTGTGATGAAGACTACAATGGCGCAAGGATGGCAGCGGTTCGTTTCATGCAACATATTTGGAATAAGGGGGATACAAACGTCTGATTGAACGCATTTTAGAGCCATAAGGCCTTAAATTCTGGACAGAGCGGCGGTTCTCGATATTGCTTAGCTCGACGAATTCTTCTAGAAAATTGCCAGGAGCTCGCGCGATGGGATTCCTCACTCTTTCGATTTTTACCAGAGACCGTTTTGCCTGATCTATTTGTAAAATCGCTGCAATTCGTAGATACTCACAAGGGAACCTCACGCGGACAGGGTAGAATTTCGGAAAACTCTCACGGCTACCCCTAGTTAATCAGATATTGCGGCCATGATCCACATGTTAAATTTTTTAAGATGCATTTATCGGCAGTACCGCACTTCCAAAAAAGGGATGATTGACATGCAAAAAAATGGTTTAATGTATAATGTTTTAGTAGGCTCTCCCGTCACTATAAAATCACCAATTGAAAACGTCACCACAGGTTTTCCGAAATTCCACAGTGTCCACGTGAGCTCCCCTGATCAGCTCATTTCTGGAATCCTCGCCGATTTTTTGCATGAAGTTGGGCCAAGCAACTGAGAGCGTGGTTTTGGTGGTGACCATTCGGAATCTTCAATTTCCGCGCTTCCTGTTGTTCGGGCGGACAGAGATCTTTCACACACAAGCTAAAGTAAAGGTCCGATTTTCCGGGCCGTAATTCAACCTTTGGCAATGCTTAGCCCCGTACATAATTCAGCTGGAGCTGCTCCCTTGAGACAAAGGATCACTCGACCGTATGGTTAAACGCCACCCACCCGGGCTTCGGTGGTTCGCCCACACCCAACGCGATCACTACCTTTTCGTCATATACAATGGGCAAGGTATTTCGTTACGAAACATGGTTTTGGAGCTAATACCAATGTTTTTAAGCTGGCTATGCAAAGAAACGACTGGCTTTTTTTTGTGGAGGCTCAACGGGTGGTACTACGCATGACGTAAGTCGGTGGCACATGGTTCACGCCTAAAACGCTTCGGTGGACTTTTTTTCAATTCATCCCCCTCGTACTTTATTTAGGATATTCACGGAAAGAAGCTTATTGCTTCAATACAGCTACCCGAAATCTGAGCCTGAATACTGGGTAGAACATTATTATCCGTTACCGGCCGCAATGGCGGGAGCCAAGCTTGAGGAACTCCAACAATTCCGGGTAACTGGTCGTCCATAAAGGCCAACTGTCAGCTCTTTTAGTGCGAGGGCCACATTCGCGACACGCATATCGACGAAATTGGCTTATTCCAGCACCCGATGACAAAACCATAAGCTGCCCGCGTGAGGCAAGGCTTTTCTTAATAAAAAATGAGCATTTATAGCTATATTTTGAATCAAGACGAGTTGGTCATTTCCAAACGGCCCTGTACACCTAAAAATTTCTTTCCAAAGATCTTATCAAGAGGCCGGATAAACCCGGACCAAGCATTGGCTGAAAATTTACACACAAATATAATCGACCACGCTGATCATCACCTCGTTTCCCGAAACTGCTATTGATCTTTCAAACTCGAGATGCTCCCTTTTTCAGGGGATCAGTTAAAGTAGAGAGAGAGAGAGAGAGAGAGAGAGAGAGAGAGAGAGAGGGGAGGGAGAGCAAGAAAGAGATAGCAAGAGAGTGAACGCCAGATTTATTAACCAAATATTTCTAAGCAAGAAAATAGCATATTATTTGCATTCTTTGACGCTGGCCGCGGTCAAATCGAACGTCTGATACTGGCGGGTTTGGCGTTTTCTGTCGGTGGACGTCTCCTTGATCCACCAATCCAAGCGCCTGAAAAGCATTTTAAGTTGTAGGAAATGAGAAATTCGTGTTTTGCAAATTTTTATTAAAAACAAGAAAATTAGATTTCGAATTTACAAATTTTTAGATAGTTTTTTTTGTTTAATCTTTACTGAAAGTGCTTTGAAGGAACTTACTGTTACATTGCTAAGCATTAATGGACGTTTTCACCCCCCCGATAAAGCAAAAGAACCGCCGTTTACAAATATTGGGAAACTCCAACGAAACTTCCGAAACCCACTTCCGAATCGCGCCTTTTCCCACAAGGAACCCGTCCTTGTATCGCCACAGCGGTTCGGCCGATCGGGAACTGCCGCACCGACTAGAAGTGTCGCATAAAAATTCATAAAATTTATATTGACTGAATATACATCATATGTTTAAAAAATGGTCAAAAAAATCTCTCGATCAAAAATGGTCATTTTTCATAGCGTTCTAGCAAAACTACCTGAAAAACTAAATTAATATATTATATATTTATCATCATGCTAATAACGCTATTTTCAAAGACAAAAACAGCCGATACCTCAGATCGTTGAACGCCGTGTCGTCAAACTGGAACTTCCACTCGCCAAAGGCCTCTGGATCGTTTCTCAGGCTGAAAAGCGGAAATTCTAACTAGGGAAGTCCAGATACCCGCAACACGAATCGGGCTGAAAATTTGCACAGTTATAGAACCGACCATGCTGATCATCGCCTCGTTTTCCGAATTTGCTACCGATCTTAAATAATTAAGATATTAAACTTTTAAAATGGGCCAAAAACCCTGGCTCACTAGAGCGGATGGGGTTCAAGAGGCCTTAGGGAAGCCCCCTTTCCAGATCTCCGGTAGTCAACTGGTAAAGCGCCTCGCTTGCCAGGTGGAGGGTCCGGGTTCGGACCCGGTTCGCGCATCTTTCTTTTGCTTTTTGCTAATTTTGCGCCGCACATGTGGCGCGTGTCCAGATTGTGTTATGCACACGCATTTACGTACATCCTAAAAATGAAATTCAACGAAATCATAAATTTATGAAAAAAGTTCATAAAAATCAACACTAGTAAAAAAAATTGTTAAAAACTGGTATTCCGTAATTCGACGGCAGCAACCGGCTCATCTGCGTGTAGTAAAAAACGCAATCTGGACACGCGCCACATGTGCGGCGCAAAATGAGCAAAAAGCAAAGGAAAAACGCGGACCGGGTCCGAACCCGGACCCTCCACCTGGCAAGCGAGGCGCTTGAAGGCGCGCGCTAAGGCCTCTTGAACCCCACCCGCTCTAGTGAGCCAGGGTCAGGGTAGCGGGTTTTTGGCCCATTTTAAAAGTTTAATATCTTAATTATTTAAGATCGGTAGCAAATTCGGAAAAGGAGGCGATGATCAGCGTGGTCGGTTCTATAACTGTGCAAATTTTCAGCCCGATCCGTGTTGCGGGTATTTTGGACTTCCCTAGTAAGTGTTCGGATTATCATGATTTACAACAGGGTGTCCCAAAAATACCCCCCACCTAGCGGGCCGCAGTCGAGTCCGATTTTTACGATTTAGCTATTTATCGAAAGCTCCCGGAAAGGCGAGTCCAGCACGTCTCACAGATTTTTGCAATGTCGGAACTTTTTGCTCGATTTTTGGCTTTTTTCACTCAAAACGATCACGCTTTTTCGTCAAAAACTCAATTTAACCGGTTGAAGCGCTATCCAAGCTGTGTTTTGCAAATCGCCTTCAAAAAGCTGTCGTGGGGCTACCGGGAAAGGCATAAAAATCCTTAAATTGTGATTTTTGAGAAAACCTTTAGGCAGAAAAGCATCAGGAAATCCGCACTGTTCGCAAAAAATATTAGTATATTAGCGCCACTCTAATACACACCAAAATTATATAAGGTAGGGTATTAGAATAGTTTCAAAAAAAATTAGAGGCGGGTAAGCGAATTTTCGGGAGCTTTCGATAGATACCTAAATCGTAAAAACCCGGACTCGACTGCGGGCCCGCAGGATCGGGATTACCAAACCGCGGATCCATATTTTGGAAATATATCAATGATATTTCGTGCCTGCTAGGAATTACGCTTAACTGATATAGGATGAGCTTTTAGCAAAATGATTGCTGGCAACAATAGGGTCGGGGGGGGGAGGTTCTTGGGGATTTACCTACATAATGCCGATTCACAGAATGCCGATTTACAGAATGCCGATTTACAGAATGCCGATTTTACAAAATGCCGATTTACAGAATGCCGATTTTACAAAATGCCGATTTACAGAATACCGATTTACAGAATGCCGATTTACAGAATGCCGATTTACAGAATGCCGATTTTACATAATTTGGCTTTTACATGAGACGGGATCCCCCATAAAAACATTATCCGACTTGGCCATGACGAATTTTTACGAATTCTTTTTTTTTTCACGTAGGGATCGGGGATTACAAGGAAATCGCAAGCCTCGCGACATGTTTCAACGCATGCCTCTTTTCGCTGGTCGCCGACACTTCCAATGTGCTCAGCCGCAGCGACAAAACTCAACGAATCATTATTGTTTCGTGGTTGAGAATGCCCGGCCTCACGTCGAGAGTGAGGGAAAACTGTTCGATAGAAGAATTTAATTTAGTAACCCATGGGCGGCTCCTTGGTAACGTGGAACTAGGTAAAGTAAAATAAAGCTAGGCCTCAGGTCTGGCGGTTTCGCCATGTCCAAGTCGGATAATGTTTTTTTTCTGGGGATCCGGTTTGTATTTTGGATCTAGAACCCAAATTATGTAAAATCGGTATTCTGTAAATCGGTATTCTGTAAATCGGCATTCTGTAAATCGGCATTCTGTAAATCGGCATTCTGTAAATCGGCATTTTGTAAAATCGGCATTCTGTAAATCGGCATTTTGTAAAATCGGCATTCTGTAAATCGGCATTCTGTAAATCGGCATTCTGTGAATCGGCATTATCAGCCTATACCGTTCTTGGGACACCCTGAATAAGCATTAAACAGTTTTGTGAAAAAATCGATTCCGCATCCTACCTGTTCTTCCAGTTGTGAAACACAAAATCATCATCGCTGAACCTTCCATACGTCAGCCAGCCATCCCGCACGTACGAGTAGGTTTTTGGCAGAAACTGATGATTTTGGTGAGAGTTGTAGGGTTTCGGAAAATCGGTTCTAGACTTTTAGCGGGGGGAAAGCCAAACTTTCCCTTTGATTCTTTTCGGCTCTATAAAAAATCCCATTTTTATAGCATTTTATACCATTTTTAGACACAAAACGCTCGTAAAAAATAATTTTTTTTGGGAGATTTACGATCTTTTTAATTTCAACGTATGAAAATGACCAAAAAAGGTCGAAGTTTTTGAATTTTCAAAGTGTTAAAAACTATTAAGTGCGACTTTCTAGCAATTAGAAACTACTAAAAAAATAAGAATAAATGATATAACATCTGCAGATGATCTATAGGTAGACAAAAAAGCGGTTTTGCCCGGCTCACCCCAGCTAACAGTCCAGAACCAAAAATTCACAAAAATCGCTTTATACCTGGATTCCCGGGATTCCATGGCGATCGAGCAGGTCCCTGGCGCAGACTTCGTATAGGAAAAGTCGGCAGTAAGCCCTTAACAGGGATATTTACTCGTGTTTCTTTTTGTCTGGTAGAATCTTGAAAAGAGCATTCTCAAAAATCAGCTCCTCAAAAACGGGAATCTCGAATTTCCAAAAAATATCCGACCCTATAGAATCTCGCAATCCCAGAATATTCAATTTTCGTAATCTCGAATTTTCACAATCGAGAATTTTAAGATCTCCTGGGTGAAATTTTGCCTTTAATTCGTCTTTCATTTTCAAACGTTTTGACCAAAAATCAAAATTTTCTCAAATACTACTAAGTTTTTCTGAGGCTTTTGTATCTAAAGACCGTTTAAAATGCCATAAATGGCCTATATATTTTCTTGCTGGGCCGCAGGGGTTGACAACGGGCTGGGCCTCACGGATTTTTTACGGATTTTTGACCCCCGCTCTGACCTTGTGTCTGACCGGGCCGGGCCGGGCCTTGGATTTTGGCTTCTGAGCCGGCCCGTTGTCAAGGCCTGCTGGGCCGTACGAAATTACAGTTGGAAATTGGCTACCAAAAAAACCCACGAGGCGTTTCGCCACCAAATTTCGCAGCGCTGCAGCTCGGCCTCGTCGTCGGACAGGTATTTTCTGATGAGGACACTCTAAATGCGGAAATCTGAATTCAGTGCGTCCACGTGGGTGCAATCACTTTACCATCAAGTGGGCGCAGTGCGTCCACGTGGGTGCAGTGCCTCCACGTGGGTGCAGTGCTTCCACGTGGGTGCAGTGCTTCCACGTGGGTGCAGTGCTTCCACGTGGGTGCAGTGCTTCCACGTGGGTGCAGTGCCTCCACGTGGGTGCCGTGCTTCCACGTGGGTGCAGTGTCTCCACGTGGGTGCAGTGCTTCCACGTGGGTGCAGTGCCTCCACGTGGGTGCATTCAATTTGCCAATGAGTGGGTGCAGTGCCTCCACATGGGTGCAGTGCTTCCACGTGGGTGCAGTGTCTCCACGTGGGTGCAGTGCTTCCACGTGGGTGCAGTGCCTCCACGTGGGTGCCGTGCTTCCACGTGGGTGCAGTGTCTCCACGTGGGTGCAGTGCTTCCACGTGGGTGCAGTGCCTTCCACGTGGGTGCCGTGCTTCCACGTGGGTGCAGTGTCTCCACGTGGGTGCAGTGCTTCCACGTGGGTGCAGTGCCTCCACGTGGGTGCAGTGCTTCCACGTGGGTGCAGTGCCTCCACGTGGGTGCAGTGCTTCCACGTGGGTGCAGTGCGTCCACGTGGTGCATTCAATTTTGCCAATGAGTGGGTGCAGTGCTTCCACGTGGGTGCAGTGCGTCCACGTGGGTGCAGTGCCTCCACGTGGGTGCAGTGCCTCCACGTGGGTGCAGTGCTTCCACGTGGGTGCAGTGCGTCCACGTGGGTGCATTCAATTTGCCAATGAGTGGGTGCAGTGCTTCCACGTGGGTGCAGTGCGTCCACGTGGGTGCAGTGCCTCCACGTGGGTGCAGTGCTTCCACGTGGGTGCCGTGCTTCCACGTGGGTGCAGTGTCTCCACATGGGTGCAGTGTCTCCACGTGGGTGCAGTGCTTCCACGTGGGTGCAGTGCCTCCACGTGGGTGCCGTGCTTCCACGTGGGTGCAGTGCGTCCACGTGGGTGCAGTGCTTCCACGTGGGTGCAGTGTCTCCACGTGGGTGCAGTGCTTCCACGTGGGTGCAGTGTCTCCACGTGGGTGCAGTGCTTCCACGTGGGTGCATTGCCTCCGCGTTGGTGCCGTGCTTCCACGTGGGTGCAGTGCTTCCACGTGGGTGCAGTGCTTCCACGTGGGTGCGGTGCCACCACATGGGTGCAGCGCTTCCACGTGGGTGCAGCGCTTCCACGTGGGTGCAGTGCTTCCACGTGGGTGCAGTGCCTCCACGTGGGTGCATTCAATTTGCCACTAAGTGGGTGCAGTGCCTCCACGTGGGTGCAGTGCTTCCACGTGCGTGCGGTGCCTCCACTTGGGTGCAGCGCTTCCACGTGGGTGCAGTGCTTCCACGTGGGTGCATTCAATTTGCCAATGAGTGGGTGCAGTGCGTCCACGTGGGTGCATTCAATTTGCCACTAAGTGGGTGCAGTGCCTCCACGTGGGTGCAGTGCCTACACGTGGGTGCAGTGCTTCCACGTGGGTGCGGTGCCACCACATGGGTGCAGCGCTTCCACGTGGGTGCAGCGCTTCCACGTGGGTGCAGTGCTTCCACGTGGGTGCAGTGCTTCGCGTGGGTGCAGTGCCTCCACGTGGGTGCATTCAATTTGCCACTAAGTGGGTGCAGTGCCTCCACGTGGGTGCAGTGCTTCCACGTGCGTGCGGTGCCTCCACTTGGGTGCAGCGCTTCCACGTGGGTGCAGTGCTTCCACGTGGGTGCAGTGCCTCCACGTGGGTGCAGTGCTTCCACGTGGGTGCAGTGCCTCCACGTGGGTGCATTCAATTTGCCACTAAGTGGGTGCAGTGCCTCCACGTGGGTGCAGTGCTTCCACGTGGGTGCAGTGCTTCCACGTGGGTGCATTCAATTTGCCAGTAAGTGGGTGCAGTGCCTCCACGTGGGCGCAGTGCTACCACGTGGGCGCAGTGCTACCACGTGGGCGCAGTGCTACCACGGGGGCACAGTGCTACCACGTGCTACCGTGGGTGCAGTGCGTCCACGTGGGCGCAGTGTCTCCACGTGGGTGCAGTGCGTCCACGTGGGCGCGGTTCTTCCAAAGTCAAACGTTCACTTACGTGTATCGCGGCGTTGTCGCGGCCCTTCAGCCCCGAGTACGATTTCTCGCCGGCCGCCCAGGAATTCAAGAAATCCCGACCGCGCTCGTCATTTCTGAAAATCTACCGTTGGGCATCCGTTGACGGCGGCAAGGCGTTCGCTACTTTTACAGGTGCTCAAAAATGACATTTGGGGGGGGGGGGCAAAATAGGTTTTTGTGATATCGCTGAATTGCGCAGTTGTACCGGGTGCCCCCAAAAATGCCCTCCCCTCTAACTGGACTCGGAAGTATCGAATCGGATTGACAGTTACACCACTGGAAAGCCCTTGAAGCCGATCAGTTTGCAACAATCTTCATAACCAACTTTTTTTCTTACTTAATCGTGTCATTTTACGCGAATTTAAAACATTAAGGAAGGCTGTTGCGTTTAATTAACGGCCGCTTACGACCATTTTGCTAGGTGAATTAGCTGGTATCTTAACCTCAAAAATCGTAAAATTCTACTAAATCAATGCAAAATTGAGGATTTAGATAAAAACATGCTTTTCAAGATTGTTGCAAACTCGCCATTTCAAGGGCTTCCGTACGGTGTGACCATCGTTCCGATGTGACTGTTCCAGCCGAGCTAAGGTTTTTTTATTGGGACACCCTGTAGTGGGCCAGGCGCTGCGCGGGTGGGTGAATGGCTACCGGAGACAAGAAACGTAGCCAAAAATCCTGCCCGAAAAGCCGCTGCTTCCATTTTTCTTTTTTTTCTTTTCTTTTTTTCCTTTTTGCCTTCCGAAGCCAACATAATTCCCTCACCTGACAATGTAGCTGCCAGCCATGATCTCCGAATTCATCACCCGGTTTGTCAGCACGAGAAACGTGTCCTCGTCTGTCGGAATCCAGCGGTCGATCGATTGACGGGGGTTGATGATTCCTTAAAAACACGTCTGGTATTGGAATCTTATCGGGGGGTGAAGGAATTTTAGCAGGGGGATCCCAGAAATATGAAGCAACGAAAACAAACCTACGCTATTGATGAACCAGATGGTTACAGTCGCTTCGCGACTGAAACCATCTGGCCTTCGGGCTACCCTACATGTCCCACTCCAACACATCCTTTCCCACCTCCATCAATACTCCCCATAGCCGAATGGCCGATGGCTTTAGATACTTTAAATAATTTTAATAATTAATTAGCATAATTAAAAAGTATTAAAAAGTATTAAAGTAACTTATGAAAGCGATCTGGGCGCGCGAAGGGGCCTGGCGAAGAGGCCTGGCGAAGAGGGCGAGGGGAAAGGGGGCGTGGCCTCCCGGGAGAGGGGCCCCCACTCGTTTTATTAAGCAACACTTTCAAAGTTAATTTTAATAATTTAAACTAAAACTTTTTCATAATTTTTTTGTATCAGTTTGGGGGTTTCTGACCACGCTCTATCCGAATCCGAAGAGAGCTAAGCTCTAGCTCTTTTCCCCTTCGAGTTGAATTCGGCTTCGGACGGACGCGTTAAGAAAATTATTATAGTTGATGAACAGGCAAAAAACCAGACCCATATCCGCGTCGAACATGACGAACCACTGGTGCCCGGTGGCGGCCATCAGGTTTGCAAGCAGGCAGTGACGTCCGTACATTAGCTGTAAAATGGTTTTGTAGATCAGGATCTGGATTCGGACTGTCGAACGACGGGAGACCCAAATTTTTCACCCAATTATACTAATTATACTAATTATACTAATATATATAAGTTGGTCGCGTATCTTTGTGTGTGTGTGTGTGTGTGTCCGGCGCCAGGGGGGCTACTTTGCATAATTGCAAAAAATACAAATTTCTTCATTCCTGCAAGTTGCACGCGCGGGTGTGGTCGGAGGAAGGAAAGGGTCCGAAGGACCCAAGCTATCGGGGGGTGAAATTTCTCATGCAAAGGCCGCATTCCAGCGCCCAAGGCCCGCGAAGCGGGTTTTGGGCGCTGGTACTAATATAAATAGAAAAAGTGTTATTAAACCGTTTTTAGGTAAAAACCTTGTAAAATTTATGCCAAAAATGCAAAACATATCGCTTTTTCGAACAAAAACACCAATTCCCGAACAAAATTCAAAAACTAAAAGGGTGTTTCTGATTTTTTTACTGTTCTCCCGTTAAATTCTAGTTCTATCTAATTTTAATAAGGAGGATAATTAATAACAATATGCATTGAATAAGGTTTTTAACAAACCAAAGCTGTCTTTCGACAAGAAAAACTATTTAAAAGCTATCAAAAAAAATCTCAAAACGCGGAAATTTTGGTATTTTTTTAATACCAATTTGTAGAGTTTTAAATTTAAGTATTGTAGGAAAATAGTTTAAAAACACTTCCACTATTTATATTTCAAAAATTAGAGCCTACGAAAAAGTTCGTCCCCCGATAATGCCAAAGAACCTAATGCTGATTTCTCAATGCATACTACGATACCGTACCTCGGCCATCGGACATCCATGCAGATGCTCTGATGTTTTGTCCACCAGAACATACGGGATGCCCCGCGATTCCGCATAGCACTTGAGCGTCATTTGGGCAAAGTCGTACTCGGTGAGGTTGTGTCTGTCGTGTACCACAACCACAAACGCCACGTTCTAAAGACGGGCAGGTATTAGTTAGGAAATTTCGTCGAAAACGTACCCTCTGTTGAGCGAAACTGTTTCGGGTAGTGGGGTTGAGCGGTATCCGGGATCTTTGGGCTGAATTTGCTTTCTTTTTTAGAATTTTACTATTTGTTTTGTCTTAGATAACTTTTTATTGATTTTCGCTGAAAATAAACCATTTTCCATTACAAAACCGAGATTTTGGTGCTGGACTGTTAGCGGGGGGGGGGATTAATTTTGGTTTTTTCACCTGTTCGGATAAATAAAGTGTTTGTGTCATGTTTTTTGAATGCTAGAAAGCTATGAAAATGGTTTAAACATTTTTAAACAATCGTAGATTTTGCGTTTTTGGCATTTTTAATAAATTTTTGACAAGAAAAAACAAAAATAGAAAATTCGTATTTAGTTAGAGTGCAGTTGTTGCAATTGCTTACCCCACCTACCGTATCTCGGCTCCCTGTTCATCTACGGGTGTGTAAAGTATACCCAATACTCGTCAGAGCAAGGCAAACATTTTGGTATGTTTTACACACCTGTAGATGAACAGGGAGCCGAGCTACGGTAGATGGGGGTCGGCTGTGGGGATGGGGGGCTAAACTGCACTTAAGCCTCGTATTTTATATTTAAAAAGTTTAAAATTCCAGAAAAAGCGTAAAGTAAAAAAAAAACCAAAAACCTGTCATTAAAACTGCAAAGGCAAATGCAAATGCCAAAAACGCGGCGAGCAAAATGAAGGCCGCCTTCACTTGTCTGGTTGGCACATCTGTAACTTTTTGGAGTTTGAAAGAACTAAAATCCCAGCTTTTTCGATCGAAATTTAGTATAATGCAAAAGGTCCAGGCAATTACCCAGTTTACTGTGTAAATAGCTCGTCTGGAATTTCACAAAAAAAAACACAAACCGAAGACTTTCAGGGTATACCCCGGCTTCATCACGGCAAGACCCAAAAGTTTGGCGTCAGGGTGGGGTTGTTGCACAGTTTGACGCTTCAGCGATAACGTGTTGGTAACGCGAATGAGACAATTTTGCTTCAAACGCGCGAATTCTGTTTCGTTCAATGCAAATTTCAGCGATTCTAATCATTTATTTAAAATCGCCATCTTACACGCCATTTTGTAAGATTTTTCTGGTCCTTTGGTGTTGCATACGAGCATACAGTATCTCATTAGGATCGAGGAGGGTGTTTTTTTTATCCGGCCGCGCTGTATATGAGCTGTATGTTTTTGTTCTTTTCCTATCCAATAAGCAAGAAAGGTATGTTTGTGTTCTGTATGGCGGATTTCTCGGCCGTCCGGCCGAAGGTCAAGCTGCTTTTTGGCATCGAGGTGATGAAGCACATTTTTCAGCATGTATTTTTTTTGTTGTTGTACGAAATTCCTTCATTTCACAATTTTATAAGCACAAAAGGGAAAAAACCCTTGACAAAATGAGTGTTTGCAGCGTTGTCCGGAAGTGCCTCTCGGCGCCTGGAAGTGGGGCCCCAGGGTACGAAGAGGCCCTTACCGCCGCCAGCCCCATCTCCCCTGTGGTTTAGTGGATCATGGCCGAGTCTACGGTGATAATGGTCGGGGGTCAGATCCGCGAGAAATTTAGTTTTTTTACTTTTTGGTAGTTCAGCAACAAAACAGATTTCTAGGCTCTCCGTGTGCGAGATTTAGGCCTGGTGCGCGCTCTAGCGCCGCAGGCCATGGATGGTTCTATTTCCCAGGCTCTCGCCCCGCAGGCCAGATCCGGCATAAAAGGCACTAGTTGGCGCCGCAGGCTCAAAGATTTTAGCGCAACGCCGGCCCTTGCGCCGCAGGCTTGAAAAGTGGAAAGCGAATTCATGGTTCCTAGAGGGGGTCCGGTGGAAAAGGGCCGCGAAACGGTCTGTATATGATATATGCTTTACTTGCCTTGTGTGTTTATGGGATACGTACTCTCACTTTATTGTCGTCTCCCTGTGTCTGGCCATTGCCCACGCGACCACCTTCGTGTTCAGGCGCATATTTTTTGGGGTAATCGTGTAGGCCGTCTCCTGGGACTTCACTTGCAATTTTTGCACGTTAATGCCCAGGAATTCGAAGACGGCCGCCCGGTAGTTCTAGAAAAAGGATAGCTTTCTCAGATAAGGGTTCTTCCGATACCTTTGTGACCAGCAGAATGATCGGGCAGTTAAATAAGGAGTGTATACAATGATGTAATGGCGCAAGGTTCGTCACTACAAGATTGGTTTGACTAAATTTTTTTTGGATTTTTTACCTTCCCCGGGTAAAAGCGCTGGTGCGCCAAGCACGGTGGCCAGGTAGAACAGCAACGGAAAACCGGTGGTGAGGCAGAAGAGGATGATCTTGGAAAATAGTCCGGTTATTAGGGCCGAAGTTGTTATTTGGCCGAGCCAGGTTATTGTGGGGGTTTAATGCGGCTAAAAATCTCTAGGCTAAATAGGAAGTATTAAATAACGTTTTTCGTGATCATAACTAGTAGCATATCACTATGTTTCAAATAGAAAAACTATCCAAACGCTTTTAAAAACTCGCAGTTTCGTCAAAAATCGGCAATTTTTTGTCGAGATATCGATATTTTTCATTTTTTTAAATTTATAAGGTACCTTTAGGAATAGTAAGATACCATTAGAAAAGCCACAAGCCTTCTGAATCTACAATATGACAGGGAGTGCTCGAGCAGGTCATCGCTCTCCGCCGCCCTTCCCAGTTGGTGAGCGTGGTATACAGGGTGTCCGAAAAAAAGCACCCCTCCGGCATTTCGCCGTGTTACATCCGATAGGTCCCATAGTTTGCACAAGGGTGTATCAGACCCTAAATAACCACAATCCTGAGTTATAGCCCGATCGATACAGTAGTTTTCGAGTTATCGCCAAAATACTATTTTTTTAAGGCGATTCTTAACAGTTTTTTCGGCTATCTTTTTGGACTTTGCATTGATTTGCATCGACTTCCGGCTGCGAATCCCTAATTTCGCTTAATATCGGGGTGACTTTGCGTTACAAAAATTGTTGAAATCAACGGTTATTTGATTAATTTTAATCAGAAAAAAATCTCTAGGGGTAAAGAAGGCTTGCCGCTTCATTTTCACTTAATATTCGAAGGGTCGATTCCTACGAAAACCATATGAAAAGCGGATAATAAAGTTTATTTTTGTTGTATCTCGAAGATTACAGTAGCTGGCGGGCTATAACTCAGGATTGTGGTTATTTAGGTTCTGATACACCTCTGGTCCAAATTTGGGACAGATCGGATGTAATACGGCAAAATGCCGGAGGGGTGCTTTTTTATGGGACACCCTGTAGTGGATAGCGCGCTGGGCCGTCATTTTCACGGCGCGGGTTCGACCCCGCCCGGTGCAAACGTCTTTTGCTTTTTCGCGCAAGCCATCGTTCCAGGGGCCTTTAACGCGCTAACCCGCTAACGCTCAGACTAAAGACCGGTTAAAAAACTTTAGACGGCAAAATGAATGACCAAAAGCAAAATTACCTGAAATATCATCACTTGCCACATCTGACGCTTTATTTGCTTCGTTTGGGTAGAGAGAAGAATTCCATCCGGTACTAAGATGAAAGTTCGATAAAGCAAAGGCGGCTCTTTTGAGCCCGTACCACCCACCACTATTCCAGCTCTGCAGCATCAACCGCAACGCGTAGCTGTAGAAGATGATGCCGACGGCGGAGAGGAAGAAGAAGAGGCCGAGGAATAGTTGCATCCACGGGGTTTCGGTTGAGTAGATCAGGATTCCGGAGAGGTGCGGTTGACGTAGCGGCCAAAGGGTGTTGTCTTCATGGAGCTGGAACTTGTTTGAAAATCTTTGTATTCCAAAAAGCATTTCCGATTTACTGAGTGTCTCAAAACAAGCACCCCCCTCTAGCGGTCCGGGGGAAACTCAGATCAGGATGATTTTTATACCATTCGAAAGACCGCGAAAAGGCGAGAAAACAAGCGGGCTTCATTTTCTAAAATTTATTCTGATTCATTATTCATATTCAACGTTTTCGTAAAAAAAACAAGGCTGCTTCTCAATAGGAATTCCGCAATTAGCATGCAGATCGCGTGTAAATCTGGCGTTTTCGTGGTTTTTGAAGGTGCAATTCGCGAGTAAATATACATAATAAATTAAATGAACCATCCTTGTTTTCTCGCCTTTCCGAGAGTTCGATTGATAGTTAAATCGTAAAAATCGGAGACTGCGCGCCGCTAAAGAGGGGTTGCTTTTTGGGAAAATCTGTATTTTGGATTTTTGTTCCAGTCGTTAGAGCATCCAAAAATATACTAACACCCTTGAAAAGACGTTAATTACAGCTCAAAGTAATATTTTAAAAAAGGTATAGCAAGAACAAGTTAGAGCGGCGGTTTTGACTCAGCTGCACGTTATTTCGCTTACCTTACGGGCCGTATATTCTGGCAATTGCCCAAAATAGTCAATCGTCAGTGTTAGGGCACCAAATGGGCCCAGGCAATAGCAGATGACCAGGATGATTCTCGCGTATTTGAGAAGCGACGCGGACTGGGAGTGGCTCTTACAAGGTCCGTAATTTTGCGATACCTTTTCCGCAGGTAATGACAGACCGATACGGTAGTAATAAGTGATAGAAATCGCATAAAGGATGCAGAAAAGGCTGATGAAATATAGGCACTAGAAATTTCGTTTATTGCTGGCTTGTCTAATTCTAAAATCTTACAAACGTGACGTGCATCACCAGCGGGCTCAACGCTAGGAATGAAATACTGTAAAATCCAAAATACGGCTCAATCAGCACTGGAGATAAAAATCCCGACGTCACGTCGCAAAACAAGCCGCTGACCTAAAATTTGCCTACGGTCTCATATCCAGAGTGTCATTTGGAACGTTGCGTAGCTGCCCGCAGGTCGATTCCGGCACTTTTCATTCCCCTCTAATGACTATTAACTTACAACAGTGTTCACCAACGCCCATTTGTAGACGACCATATGATTTGGAGAATATTTGAGCACCACGTAGACCGTGATGGAGCACCACACTAAATTTTATCGGTTTGTTTTTTGAGGCTTGTGTCCAGGGGCGTAGCCAGAAAAAAATTTCGGGGGGGCCCCCAAAAAATTTTTCAAAAAAACTCAAAAAATTGCCGAAAAGACAGCGCCGCAGGCAAAAATTCTTGAAAAAAGGCTGCATAGCTCTACAAATAGCCGTAAAAACGCGAAAAAAATAGCGCCGCAGGCAGCAAAATTTTTGAGAAAATAAAAATCATAAAGGTCCCCCCTTATGAAATTTTCGGGCCCCGGCCGATTTCGGGGCGGGCCCCCGGGGCCTGTATTACGCTACGTCCCTGCTTGTGTCTTTGGCTTGGTCTCTGGGCAATGGTACATTGTTCTGGTCACACAAAATGCAATTAATTTGAGTGACCGTTGCGCGCCACCTGTCATTTTTTTCGAACAATTCTCGATGCTCGATGATTTTGATTATCGATATTTTCAGTCAGAGAAGAATGAGAGAGAGAGAGAGAGAGAGAGAGAGAGAGAGAGAGAGAGAGAGGGAGAGGCAGACAGCGAGAGAGAAAGTCTGAACGATACATTAAAGGGAGATAGAGTGAGAGAGGGCGACAGAGAGCGAGGGAGAGTGAGAGTGCGAGTGAGAGAGTGAGAGAGAGAGAGGGAGAGAGAGAGAGAGAGAGAGAGAGAGAGAGAGAGAGTCAGTGCCTCAGACAGAGAGAGCTAAAAGAGAGGCGGACAGAGAGAGAAAGAGTGAGAGAAACAGAGAGATAGAGACATCTAGAGCCAGACTTCTCACCCAAATCCAACAACCCGAATATCGTATACATCGTTGCACAAAATTGGGCGCCACTCGGCGAAAAATATAGCATCTCCAGCGAAATAACACCGGGGACCGAACCGGAAACCGAGGCTCCAAAAATAGGAATTGGCTGGCGTTTCTTGAATTGCTTGAAGGTGGTGGCAGCTGGATCAGGAATTTCCCAAAATATAGGCAGAGTTTGAAGCCGTCCACCCAGCTCTCCTTTCTCCCTCCAGAAATGTTATTCGAGCCTGTGGAGAAGAGGTTAATTTGCCAGGAGAAGAGCGGAGCACCTGTCCATGAAACACCGGGTGAACACACACGGTGCTTCTTGAATTGGTTTTTTTCGCCTCGCGGGGTGTTGCCCGAACTCTTTGGCGTGCTTGATATCACTTCGGGCTCCAAAAACAAAGTGCAAACGGGGCTTAACGGAGCTAATAAGTCAAAATTATAGTCAAAGGGCAGCTTATATGTCAAAAAGTGAGGGGTACTCCCTATGAGTACCAGGGAAATTATACTTTCACAAAAAACTTGACATAAAATTTGCGCAAAAGCGAGCTTTTGTGCCGGCAAGGTTTAAGTTGAGAGGCAGTGTTTTAATCGTGTTTTTAGCAATATATAATTATATTTTAGCTAGACAAACTATCTAAAAACTTTTTAAAAAGTTGAAAAAGTCGACATTTTGGGTCGAAAATCGGATTTGTCGGTTCGATTTTTGAAAGATCGTTTTATTTAGCGATCTAAAATCTGGAGTTTTCAATTGGCTTCCAGGTGCCGTTAATCGATGAAAATATTGAAGAAAGGCCCAAAATGCGTTGGATATGTTTATAGCAACCTGCAGGTTGCAAAAATGTTCTGCTTTCTGTCTTGGAAACGCATCAATTATGTATGGACCCATTTATTCAGCTTTAGCCGTGCTTGAAGTCTCGAAAAATCAACATTGTGCGAAGATTCAGAGATCCGGCTCGAGATGAGGAATCTTAACTTCTTTCGCGACCATCACCGCTTGGCGGGCCAGTTTCTGAAAAAATGGATGTAAAATTTGGAGTGATACTTATTAAGGGATTCTCCAAACTTTAAAGCGTCCGTGAAGGCTCGGAATTTGCTGTCCGTTTCTCACACCCTTTCTCTCTTTCTCTCTCTCTCTCATCCTCACTATCCCTCTCTTCTGCTCTCACGCTCTCTCTCTCTCTCTCTCTCTCTCTCTCTCTCTCTCCCGCAGCCCTAAACGAAGATCTGTAATTGCCTGCCTTTGCCGCCCGAATCTCCTCGGTCCAGTCCTCCTTCCCGATCTGCACCACGGCCCTCATGAAGATGGAGATGGCCTTGTGGGCATTCTGGGCGAACGTCTCCATCACGGCCTCCATGGTTACCTGAAGTAAGGTGGTTAAAGGAGCAAGCAAGTGTTATTGATTGCCGGTTCAAAATGTCCCGCAAGTAAAACGTACATGACTGTCCTCCTTCCAGCAGTCATAATCGGTGACGAGGGTCACGTTCGCGTACGGAATTCCGAGTTCTTTGGCGAGGAGACCCTGAAACTCAGATCAGGTTCGTTCGAAACCAGCTCAGACTCACCTCCGGGATCAACGTCATCGACACCAGCGACGCGCCCCAGCTTTTGTAGACGAGGGATTCGGCTCTAAAGGCATTTATTACGAATTTTTACAAGGTATTTGTCTCAAACTCGCTCGACAAAAAAAAACAGGTTTTAATAGGCTGCAAAAAAGCTATACCCACTTTGTCGAATATCTCGGTCCCTCGATGCAAACCCCGAAGCCGCCATCGTGATGTTTATACTCCAGGTCCTTGGCGCATTGCATCAACAGCTGCAAAAGTCGATGTTAAAGGGACTAGAAAGTTTCGGGGTGTCGGATCTCGCACTTCCTGTTCCCTTAAAACGGCTAGAACGTGTATATACCTGGCGCAGCTTCTCGCAATACACCGGCTCTGATGGAAGGTGGATGACGCCTGGCGGGTGACCGGGCTCACCGTCGAAGAATGTCTGGACGCGGCGATGAGTTCTGAATCGCCAAAATTTTATGAATTTGAAGCCTAAAAGTTGAGTCAAAGGTACTTCTTCAATGCAAAATAAGTTCTATGGCTTAAAAAATTAAAATATACCGATCAAAAACGGAGGTCGGGAAGACGAGCTCCCCGGGCCGGACTTCTTCTTGAAGGGAGCCGCAAGCTGTGGAGGCGATGATCACAGTGACGCCTGAATTTGAAGAGGTGAGAGGGCAAGAGAGAGAGAGAGTGAGAGAGAGAGAGGGAGAGAGAGGGAGAGAGAGATATCTCATAGAAAGAGAGATGATAGAGAGTTAAAGAGAGCAAGAGAGAGTGAGAGAGAGAGAGAGAGAGAGAGAGAGAGAGTGAAAAAAAACTAGACCCACCCCTTTCCATCAATGCCCATAGATTCGCCCTGTAGTTGACGTTGGTGGGCATGATTTCGTGGTTTCGGCCGTGGCGGGACAGCAGCACGCAAGGAACACCTCCGATTTCTCCTAAAAATACGACGTTGCATATTTTTGAGACTTGCCATTGCCAAAATCAATAAAATCAATAGGAGCAAAATTTTGCGATATTCAATTTTTTTGCGAGATAAATGATTTCCATAACTTTTCCACTGACCTTCAATGAGGACATCACTCGGCTTTCCAAACGGGGTGTCCACATCGATTTTCCGTGGATTCTGCAGAATTTGCGGGTCCTCCAGGCCCGAGCCCCCGATGATGCCGACCTGAATTTATAGTTTTCAAACAATACTTTAGAGGTAAGTAATCTCGTAAAACATTGATAATACTAAATGCTTCATAATAAAAAAGGCAAAACTCACCTTTACCATATTTTCCTGCGGCGGCGGCTTTCTACAAAAACTATATTATTTCTATAAATTATTTGGAGGTTTATAAATTGTTAAAAGGCAATAAAAGGTTTAAAATATCTATGGCACTCCCAGGTAGGAAAGGAAGGGTAAAGGAAAAGCGGCCATTTTATTTGCTCGCACCCACTCGATCCAGTCGCCGATTCTTCCCAGTTTCTCACCGGATAGCTGGTAAGTGGTCAAATAAACAGTCTACTTTTATTGAATTATCGGTATGAAATCTTTACGATGAATGTAAAGAAAAATCATGCATATAGAGTGATCATCACAAAGAAACCATTTTTTCTGGCTCATCTTCCCGGCAAATTGGTCAAATTTTAATAGATTCCGCCAAACTCTTGAAAAAGAACGAATGCCGATTTTGCCAAAATTATTTAGACCTTTATGCTTTTCATGAAACAATGGGGGGTTCAGAAGGAATTACGAAAATTGTGAGAAAAACAACCGGTAACCGATTACGTGACGATCACCTCCTAGAAAAAGGCGATCGCCGGGGTTTTTATCAAAAAGTGTGGTATGGGGTGAGAAACGACAAACGTGGGAAGGCAGGAGACCGAGAGCCAGAGAGAGAGAGAGAGAGAGAGAGAACCGCAGAAAACGGCCATGAAAGTTGCCGACAGATAAGACCTTTGGTCCGAAAAAGCTTATCAATCCCCCGGCTGACCCCCGGGCGCCTTTTTTTTGATGTGCCGATGATCGACTATCTTGGAGAAGAGAAAAATTGCTAGAACATTAATGACGGATAGAAAACTATTTGGAAATCAATAAACCGATTCTGATGTAAAATATTAGCTTTCAAAAATCACGAATCATCAAAAGTTGAAAAACTATTTGTTTTTGCAAAGCAATTATATTAACACTTCACAATATCTGCGCATAAAATCTAGCAAGAATTAAGCTGGTTTTAACAAAAATAGGTCCCAAAAACAGCCCCACCAATGCATTACGCGATGTATTGATTGCCCAATGGGGTGAGAAACGGGAAGAGGTGAAAAAGGGAACGAGAGGGAACGGAAAAGAGAGCGGGACTTTTTGGGGCCCGACTGAAAAAGGCACGTCATTTACGATACGCGAGGGAATGTTCGGATTCTTATGTATTTGTCTAAACTTACTTTACTTCTAGTTTGTTTAGCCTAATAGAGACGTCTACTTAAATGCTGGTTTCTAACTAACGTTACCGCTTGAATTAACACTCTCTTTCTCTCTCTCTCTCTTTCTCGCTCTTTCTTCCCCGCTCTCTAGCTGTATCTCGCCTCTCTTTGTCTTTCACTCTAACTCGATCTCGATCTCTCTGTCTCTCTCTCTCTCTCTCCCTCCTCTCTCTCTCTCTCCCTCTTTTTCTCTCTCTCTTCCACTACCGCTCTCGCTCTCCCTCCCCCTCTCTCTCTCCCCCTCTCTCTCTGTCTCCCTCCCTCTGTCTCACCCGCGTTCTCTCTCTATCTTTCTCGCTCTCTCTGTTTTTTTTCTCACACGTTCTCTGATTTACTGAATTAACCTTAAGGCTTGCAAATATGGACACTATACTCAGCACTCCGATAACTTGGTCCATGATTGAAGCGGATCTCAAAAAAGCCCTATCAACCTCTGCGATTTTCGGGTCGGCCAAGAAAGCCGAAGCATTTGGGAAGGGATGCGTGGGTGTTTACCAATTTTCGAGAGGATTTAGGGGAATTCTAAAGGTTCTCAGTGGTAACACCACCTTTTCAGTCGTTCCTGTCCAAAACCGTCCTCCTTACATTTGACTGGCAAGGTTGCGGTAGCCAAGAACTACCGGAAACAGCCCTCCTGAAAGTCTGCCAACGACAACCTCAGGAAGAGCGAGGAACCGACATCTTTGACAGCAGTTTGGTGGGCTTTAAAGGGACCAGCAAGTTATGTCTATGGATTTTGTAGCTTTGTACACCTGCCGTAATAATTTCAGCTAAACGACAACGAGTTGCTGCTATACACGGAGACGGTCAAGGCATTACCACCTAATTTTCCGATTCCACGATACTACTGTGGACGGTTGTATTCAAAGGAGTTGGAAGCCGGTAAGCTGATGATTAGCTTAGGCTTAGCTAAGGCTTAGCTTAGGCTTAGCTTAGGCTTAGCTTAGGCTTAGCTTAGGCTTAGCTTAGGCTTAGCTTAGGCTTAGCTTAGGCTTAGCTTAGGCTTAGCTTAGGCTTAGCTTAGGCTTAGCTTAGGCTTAGCTTAGGCTTAGCTTAGGCTTAGCTTAGGCTTAGCTTAGGCTTAGCTTAGACTTAGCTTAGGCTTAGCTTAGGCTTAGCTTAGGCTTGGCTTAGGCTTAGCTTAGGCTTAGCTTAGGCTTAGCTTAGGCTTAGCGTAGGCTTATTGAGTCTGGTCCGCATTTTAGGTTACGTGCTGATCGAATTCGTAGCCAACGCGTCACTTTGTCATTTGGTGCACAACGTCCAGTTTGACGGCGTGCTCGAGGTGGTCGGCTGGTTGGCAGAGATGGCGGTGTACAGTGGGTATTCCATATAACGTAGCTAATACAGATCGATCCCCCTATTTTGAAGTACAGAAAAACTCTTTAAGGCATTAAAAACCCGGAAAAATTGGCGCTGGCCAAGACGGTTGACGCAAATGATGAATGTCTCAAGGATTTTACAAGACTAGAGGTGCCGTTTTTGTAAAAATTTGGGTTTTTCCCTGCCTTTCAGCCTTTCCCTGTACGCGTTTCAGATCTCGCTGGCTCGCTACGATAAGATGGAAGCCCATTTCCCGGATCTGAAAGAAGATATCGACTATTTTCGCGTGAAAACCCGTGAGGTCCTTAAGGATTTTGATACGCTACAAACGTTGCGAGACAAGATTTGTAGGTTTTGAAAGCTAAAACGTGTTTTTTTCTCAATTCACAAAATCCCTTAAAGAGGCTCGGAAGGCAAAATACGTCCGTCCGTACCAGAAAAGTGATTCCATTGCCAGAAAACGTAAAATATTTGAGTAAAACCGGTGTTTTTGGGGCGAAAACGACTTTTTGAGATGTCGTAATGCCTTGTAAGACACCCAATTTCTCGATCTCGGTGATTCTCTGGCTAATTTTCGTAATTAAAACGTCTGGAACGACCAAAATTCGGTGGGGATTCCAGAAATAGCTTCAGAATTTTTAAATTCAAGCGTTTTCGCGCCCAAACAGGGGCAAAGGATCATGCGGCGCGGTCGCGTTGCGGCCGCATCTGGCTATTTGCCAGGAATCAGAGCAGGCGGCCGTGGACAGATGCCAGAGTCCCTTTAAAAAGTCAATAAAAGTAAAAAAATACTTCTGAAAAATCCGGACTTCTAGCTAACGTGAAGCTGATTTGCCATGGGGACCCGTGGCCGCCAAATCTCTTATGGAAACGTGGCGCAAACGGCAATTTCCATGTGTTCAAGTTTGTCGATTGGCAGGTAACGGAGAAAAAGGCATATGGTGACCGTTGCCTTCACGGGCCCTTTAAAGGGATAGGGAAGGGCCGGTAGATGAGGGATGAGGGCAGTAATTGGCAACGAGCCAACCGGAAATGCTTATGTAAGAAAGTGGGTGGAGATCAGGCTTGGTGCTTTTGGTATCGGGTATCCCGATCGGATCGTATCGGATCGGATCGGATCGGCTTAATTTGCATGCCGATCCGGATCCGATCCAGATCCGATCCGGATAGATCCAGGAGTATCGGATTTTTATGCAAATCCAAAAAATCGATGTTAATGCAGTTTTGCTTCCTAAAAACCGGTGTAATACCTCTCCCCATGATGAATTTTGTCTTTTATACACTACATACATACATTCAGGGACGTAGCGTAAGGTGGGCCCCTGGGCCCGGGCCTCCCCCGACATCGGCCGGGGCCCGAAAATTTCATAAGGGGGGACCCTTATGATTTTTATTTTCTCAAAAATTTTGCTGCCTGCGGCGCTATTTTTGCACGTTGTAACTGCTATTTGTAGAGCTATAAAGCCTTTTTTTCCAAAATTTTTCGCCTGCGGCGCTGTTTTCTCGTCAATTTTTTGAGTTTTTCGAAAAACTTTTTCGGGCCCCCCCCCGAAATTTTTTTCTGGCTACGCCCCTGCATACATTACACACATACACTCACCATTTGCACAAAATTCGGTATAGCGAAACTTGGCATAGTGAAAATTCGGCATAGCCAATTTCGGTATAGCGAAAATTCGGTGTACCGATGATTGGCATACCACAAGTCGGCACAGCGAAAATCGGCATAGTATGGTTTTACCAAATATTGGGATAAATCAGTAAAAATCTCGTTTGCATGGGAAAGCGATATAAAACCTCGGCCCGATGCCGATCCGCCGGATCTGGATCGGGTATCGGATCGGATCGGATCGGCATGCAAATTAGTCCGATCCGATCCGATCCGATACCGATCCGGCCGATCCGATCCGATCCGGGTACCCGATACCAACATGACCAAGCCTGGTGGAGAGTGGGGTGAGGCAGGAGGGAGCATAGAAGATTGATGCTAATTGAGAACTAAAGCCGGTTTTATGCTAATTTTTTCTGGGCCTTCCTGATCCCTTGAAAGGGGCTGTAAACTGGGCCTAAGGACACCAAGTAACCGAGTAAGGTACCATTTCCTTTACAGCTATTCCATATCGGCACGCCCTGCTGGGACCTGACGCTGTTTTTGTTCGGCTGTATGGCACCCGAGGATTACGATAGGTGGTTAGAAACAATTAAATTAGTTTAATTTTAATCAATTTAGAATTCCGGACGCGATCCGGCATTATTACGATTTGATCACTGCGCGTGTGGGTTACAAAAATCCATGGGATAATGTTGAGCAGGTTTGAGAACTATTGCAAAGCTATCGTATTTTTCCAGCTTTTGACGGAATTCGAGAAAATCTTTGCCTGGCTGATACTCATGCTCCTTCCGATGAACGTCGGGATGCTGGGGAGTTGCATGGAAGCGCTTAACGGTAAGAACGACGCCTCATGTCTACCAGTTTTCGAATTTTGTAGCGTTCAATGCCTGGGATACCTTAAAATGGTTCGAATTACCACTGGATGCAATGCAGATAGCAGAGATTCTTTATTTTTAGAGGTCGACGAAGGCCGCATCGCTGAATACGGCCGCCTTCTTGACGCAAAAATGCGACGCCTCAGTGAGGAGACCAAAAAATATTTGCTCAAATGGTATTAGGGGGAATAAAGCTAATTTGTTGAAATGTCGGGATTTTGGCCTGTCGGTATTGTAGCTGTCAGGAATTTGGGTGCCGCTATTTTGGACTGTGACTTTTGAACTATTTTGGACTAGAATTTCTGTCGAAATTTGACCATCCGTGTTTTGCCCCCGAGGTAGGGCTGTGAAATCGATCGGTTTTGGGTTTTTTAAAGTTTCGGCTTCCGAAAGTTGGCGTGACGCCAAGATCGCGGAGAACCCCCCCCCCTTTAAAAATGAGCTATTTTTCGTCAAGAGGCATGGCGCGTTGCGGTCGCGTTGCGGCTTCGTGTCATGGATTCCCAGTTCGTGTCATCGTTTCACAGAGCGGCGCGTCTTTCTCGTGCGTTGCGGTCCTTCTAAGCGGGAAATCCTATCTGTGTAAAAGTGGCAAAATGAGAAAATTTTTGCGGCAATAACATCTACATCCGAAAGGTATCGGTTGGTTTAATTGAAGGTTTTTTAGGGCAAGAAATATTGAATCTGAGCGCAATTACTGACAAAAAAAACATAAAAAAGGAAATTGCAAAAAATGGGATAAGCTTCCAAGCGATGAGTGGTGATCCTTTGTTTCATGGTCATCCCCCAAAAACACAAGGTAACCCATCAGCAAACCCGCAAAATAATTTTCAGGTATTGTCGTCTGAAATCTCGGCGAGACCCACCCCGGGGGGCTACCAGTTCAAACAAACAACGTCTTTGTTACCCGTTTTACCGGCCGTAAGACAGCCACCCGGAAAACAGTATAAAACAGAGTCAAACAGAGAGATTCCGAATCACTGCCCAAAATCTGATGTCCGGCCTACTCGTCCCTTTATTTCTAATTTCCGCCCGATTCTGGAGTACGGTAGCCGGCGGGGATACGGTAGAATCGCTGCGGGAGCGGGTGATCGACCCGGAAACCGAATTTTTGTCCGAGCGAGAATTGGTCGACTATGTGAATGGGTGCCAGACAGCTTGGCAGGTGGGTGCTATGAACAGACGTTTTTAAAATGGACCGAAAAGGCTTGAATATGGAGTGCGCCGCTGCACGCAACGCACCAGGCATGTAAAACCTTGAGAGAGAGAGAGAGAGAGAGAGAGAGAGAGTGAGGGAGAGAGAAAGAGAGAGCGTGAGAGGGAGAGGGGGAGGGAAAACTTAGAAAAAAAAAAGAAAGAGAAAGAGAGAGAAAGAGAGAGACAGAGAGAGACAGAGAGAGAGAGAGAGAGAGACAGAGAGAGAGAGAGAGAGAGAGAGAGAGAGAGAGAGAGAGAGAGAGAGAGAGAGAGAGCGAGGGTGGGAGAGAGAGAGAGAGAGAGAGAGAGAGAGAGAGAGAGAGAGAGAGAGAGAGAGAGAGAAAGAGACAGAGATAGGGTGGGAGAGGAAGGGAGAGAAAAAAAGAGGAGAGAACTGGAGAAATCCTTTAAGGCCGAATACCACACTCGACTCGGCTCGTACTCGGACAGCTTGAAGGCGGGCCTCATGGGCGTTCCGTATATCCGTCCACCCATCTTGGCCAGGTTGGAACGGAGTTTTAAAGCAACCAGGAAGCGTGAAAATCGGTCTATTTCGTCGACTGGGTCTCGGCAACTACGTAGAGCTCCAAACGACCCTCCAGTTCTCATTCCTAATAGCGTATTTTCGAGGCTTTCGCGGCGTCTCCAGGCGTTTTCGCATGGTTGTCAATAGCAAGTCATTAGAAATGGATAAATTCCGGCGTTTTAGTCACCTTAAAGGTGCCGAGACACTAGGTGTTGCTTTAGAAAGCAACTCTCTACCACGAGACATCTCAACATCTCTATCCCCGACCGCTTTGATGCCCGAGATTGGTGGCCCGAGTGTCGTGACCGCATCGCTCACATCAGGGACCAGAGTTCGTGCGGTGAGTTCGAATTTTCCAGTGTGCCGATTGAATCTGTCATTTTGTGTGTTGCGTATTTGCCGAGAGCTAGGCGATACAGGATTTAATTCACGCGACTGTTAGCCGTTTTCTGACCATATTTTTCTAGGCAGTTGTTGGGCGGTGGCGGCGACGGAAGCCTTCTCGGACCGAATCTGTGTGGCGAGTCGTGGGTCGATACAGGTCAGTCGGTTGTAGGGGTAGGAGCACGGCTGCGGTAGATTGTTTAAGCGGTGGATAACCCAGATCTCTGGCACCGCGGCAGGCAAATGCCCCCTTACACCGCGCGCTGCGGTGCCGCTTCGCGGTCGATTTCATGACTGGAAAATTCGTAGCCATGCCGTGCCTCGTCCTTTAAAATCGCGATAAAAGATGCCGAGCGGGCGGCATTACAGCCCTTTCCTCTTCAGATCGACGCGTCAGCCGGCGATCTGATGGAATGCTGTAAGGATTGTGGATATGGGTATGGAGTTGTATTTTGTAGCCCATGTGGCTGCAAACTACAGGACTAAGGATCTTTGGGCGCGTGCAGGGCTGGTCATTTCGGACCCGGACCCGGACCTACCCTAATTTGCATGGGTCCGACCGGGTCCGGGTCCGGGTGGGTCCGGGTGGGTCCGGGTCATTTGCATGATTTCCGATGTATAGTTTTGATCCGTTTTTAGTCATTTTTCAAGGACTTGCTTTCCTATTGATTTGCTTTTGTGGGTTGGTAAGTTAGCCCCAAATCACGAGAAAAAACAGATGGACTAAACTATTCGTCCGATGATGAGAGATCCGATTAAGAAGAAGAGGATGCTCTTACATTTGCATCTTGCTGCATTTCCGGACCTGGACCTACCGGACCTACCTGGACCCACCCGACCCATGCAAATTTATGCGGGTCCGGGTGGGTCCGGGTCCGGGTACGGGTCCGGGTCCGACCCGGGTCCGAAATGACCAGCCCTGGGCGCGTGTCCTTTTTCTGGAGGCCTGAAAAACTATTTTTTTGAAAAAGGAGTACAGGAGAGATTGGGAGAGAGAGAGACAGCGATCCAGAGAGAGAGAGAGAGAGAGAGAGAGAGAGAGAGAGAGAGAGAGAGAGAGAGAGCGAGAGCGACTGAGAGAGCGATTAAACGAGAGAGCGAAAGACAAAGTGGGAGAGAGATTGAGAGACAGCTAGAGACAGAGAGAGAGACAGCGAGCGACCGAGAGAGATTGAGAGAGACAGAGAGACAGAGTGAAAGAGAGAGAAAGAGAATGCAAGGTTGAGAGAGAGAGCGATTGTGAGAGAGAGTGAGAGCGATTGAGTACGAGAAAGAGAGAGCGAGAGAGAGAGAGAAAGAGAGCGAGAGCGAATAGCAAGAGGGAGAGAAAGAGAGAGAGAAAGGTTAGAACGAGAGAGCGATTGTGCGAAAGAGAGAGAGAGCGATTGAGAAAGAGAAAGGGAGAGAGACAGAGAGAGAGAAAGAGCGAGAGACCGAGAGAGAGAGAGAGAGAGAGAGAGAGAGAGAGAGAGAGAGAGAGAAAGAGAGAGACCGAGAGAGCGAGAGCGATAGCAGGAGGGAGAGAGAGAGGGCAAGAGGGGGATAAAAAACGTCCAAACAGTCCTTTTTAGATGCGAAGGCGGCTACCCGTTCCAGGCGTGGCAGTACTTCGTGAAGAGCGGCGTCGTGACGGGCGGAGACTACAAGGGGGTAAAAAGCGAAAATTGCTTCAGTTTTTAACCAATTTTTTTCAGCCCGGTTGCAAGCCGTACCCCTTCCCGCCGTGCCACAAAAATCACACGCACTATCGCGGGGACGTGTGCAAGGACGGAATGTTTCATGTCGGTGCAAAATTACGAAACCTATAGCAAAAAAATTCGTTTTCAAAAACCGCCACAGCTAATCTGGAGTTTAGACGCCAAAATGCGAGAGGAAATGCGACGCTCACGGCTACCCGAAGCAGTACCGAAATGATAAAATTTATGGTGGGTTCGGGCCGGCCGTGACAAATTTTGTACAGGGTGCCCCATAAACCCCCGGCCCCCTCGGCATTTGGCCTACTTTTTTCCGATCGCGTTGAAATTTTTAGGAGTGGTGCAAAACGCCAAACTCTATATAGCGTGCTTACTTAGAAAGCTCTAGGCGGCCGGATACGCGAGAAAACGCGGTAAAACATCCTAAGCAACAGCAAAACCATTGGACCACCAGACCCATGGCCCACGTCAAGGGGGTTGGCGAAATGGCTGGAAAAGCCATTGAACCGTCCTTTTCGCAAAGCATGAGCTCTTTTTTGTTTTTTTATAAGGTTAAATTGTTGAGAAACGCGATCGCTTGACTACTCGGTTCTTTTTGCACGTTCCGTTGCGCGACCAAATGCGCGGACCGGAGACCGGCAGGGACCCGGTCCCGCGCATTTCGGGGCGCGCCGGCCAAATGCGCGGGACCTGCGAATGCGCGGGACTTTGCGCGGCTCTCGTCGTCAACTGGCCCAGGGACGCTTTTCCTCCTTTTAAAGCTCTTATATTACTTATTAAACCTGCGTTATGAGCAGGTATTACTGTGAGTAGATGGAGTATGAGTAGCTATACATTTATACCCGGGTAATGATACAAAAACAGTTGTAAAAGATTGTTTTCCGCAAGAAGAGTTGAGGTGCTGTCGATGAACCTAGGCTTGTCCTTAGCATTTGAAAACCAGCTTTTTATAACTGTTGACCCACCTCGTTCGAAGCGAGTGCCTAAGAATTGAGTTAAATACTATTTATTTTGCTAGCTAATTTGCTAGATAGATTCAGACTTACCGTATTGGTTCGACTTACGTTCGCATCACTAACCTTTCTGACTTACCGTGGTCATCCTATATTCGTTGGGGAGATAGTTGTTTCTACCAACTTCTTTGCCTAAATTCTCCTGACAACAATAATGAATCAAACTTGAGTCTTACAGTCTTACTTACTCCTGATCATACGCGTTTCTTCTTGGAATTATGCCACATGCCACAAATTACCGATACCGGGGCCTTTGACAGTGCATTCATTAATCTGAGAGTGCAGTTTTGTTGAAAAATAAATAAAAAACTTGCCGAAGCTAGACCATGGATCGTTTGTCATCCAAAAATCAGCATTTGCAAATCCTAAATTCCATGAAAATGATAAACCTCACCTGATACCTCCGGTCTTAAGTGCAAAAAACAGCATTGGTTCCGGCAAAGACACAAATATCTATAAATAAAACTAAATTGAACGAAAATACGCTAAAAGCCTCGAGGTTTTCATTTAGTGCGTTTAGAAACCATGCACGAAATGCGCGGGACCGCGCATTCTCCTTCCGCGACTAATTGTGCGACAGAAAGCGCGGTCCCGCGCATTCAGCCGCGTCCCTCTCGCGCATTTTCCGAGAGCCGCGCATGGGGCCGCGCAAGCCCGACTCCCGCGCAACGGACCGCGCGAAAACAACCGAGCCTGGGGGACGCCCGGCCATCTTTCCAGGGGTCTTTAAATTAAATTTTCTAAAAGACCTTTATCGATCAGCACTTTTTAAAAACGGGATGTTGCTCATAATTTTTTTCTCTATCGAACTATCTAGGTCCCGTCCCAAAACTCCAAAAGCACCTAAAAATGACCCCTTGTAAGATATTCGACGAAAACCACTGTCTTTGTAGTTATTTTAAGTAGTGTTTTCAACGGTTCTGTTCTATTTCGCGGGGGGAAAAAACTGTGCGGGGGGGAAAATATGCTTCGCCAAAACTTCTATCTTTTCGCTATTTTCTCGGGAGTTTTGCAACGCCATTCGATAGAGCATCAAAAAATATACTAAGAGTTTTTGTTTTAGCTAAAAATATTGTAATATAAAAAAGTTATAGCAAAAACAAAAAAAAACTATTGAAACTGGTGCCGAAATGTTAGTTTTCGGCATTTTCGCCAGTTTTTCGATATTTTGAACCCGTCATTCGCTAGAGCATCAAAAAATATACTAAGAGTTTTAATTTCATCTAAAAATATTGTTTTATACAATAGTTATAGCAAAAACAAGGTTTATACGGTGTTTCCACATGGGATCGTGCAGTCCAAAGTTAGTTTTTGACATTTTCGATATTTTTGAAAAATTCCTTTCATGCCATTCGATAGAGCGTCAAAAAATATACTAGGAGTTTTAATTACAACTCAAAATAGCATCATATAAAAGGGTTATAACAAACCGAAGAACATTTCCCCCCGCACAGTTTTTTCCCCCCCGCGAAATAGAACAGCACCTTTTCAACTTACAAATTGGCATGGTTTCGAAATCGCCATTGAATTCCCCGCTAAATAATTTTCGGGGACTTTGGAGCTATGACTTTCAAGATACAGAGTTTTTCGACCGTTATTCTATGCGTGTGTATCGTTTAGGACATAATGACCCAGTTGAGCAAGTCAGGTGAGATCAGTCAAGACAAAGAGAGCATGGATGCCAGCAGAGTACATGATGTAAGTTCATCGCATTAAAGGTACACCAAAGCCTCGTTGGGTTGGAAGACAAACGTTGGAAGACAAACTTGGCGCATGCGGGGATACGACCTACTCGTCAAAAAAATTGTGTCGCGAAAAAAAGTAAAATATTTGAGTAAAGCCGAAATTGTCTTGGGGCCAGGGTTGTTCACCGATGGACCCGGATCGGTAAGGATCCGGATCGGATCCGGATCCAATGCGGATCCGAGGAATAAAGGGACCGGAAGTAATATTCTCGATTCTGATGCTGATTCGGTCATGTTAATCGCAAAAATACATAGCCCAGAGGCAGAATTGATTTTTGCATCTAAGAATTAGCACTGAACTCGGTTGCATGATCCATTTACTTGGATCCGGATCGGATCGGATCCGATCCAGATCCAGATCCGGATCCAGTCCGTTCCGAAAATGACCAACCCTGCTTGGGGCGAAAACGGCTTTTTGAGTGGGCGGCGATTACATGTCGTAATACATTGTGAGGCATCCAATCTCTCGATATCGGTGGTTCTCGGATCAATTTTCATAATGAAAACGTCTAGAATGATCAAAATACGGGGGTAATTGTCACCTCACCGAAACCCTTTTCGCCGAAAACCTTTTGACCGAAAACCATCCCACTGAAAAACCTTTTCACCGAAAACCCGTTCACCGAAAACCTTCTCACGGAAGACCTTCTCACCGAAAACCTTCTCACCGAAAAACGAATTTTTTTTATACTAGTTGTGGTGCTCACTTTTCCACGGTGCGGTTTTACGGACCCAGGTATCCACTAAACTTCAACTCGCTCCAAATTACTTCAGAAGGCTTGTTTCCACCAATAAACCCTGTAAAAAAGGCAACATACCACGATAGTAGTAATAGAATGAGTTGAACAATGACTGGCAAGTACTATTGAAAAATTAGCATACAAACTTAGTTCCCAAACTTCCGGTGAAAGGGTTTTCGGTCAAGTGGTTTTCGGTGAGATGGCTTTTCGGTGAAAAGGTTTTTCGGTGAGATGGTTTTCGGCGAGCTGGTTTTTCCCTGACAAGGTTTTCGGTGAAGCGACAGGTATTCCAAAATACGGCGAGGACTCCAGAAATAGCATCAGACTTTTTAAATTCAAGCGTTTTCGCGTCCAAACAGGGGCAAAAGATCATGCGGCACAATCGCGTTGCGATCGCATCTGACCAGGGGATCAACGCTGAGAGGCGTGGATCGGCTTTCGAGACTTGCCGGTTGCTACGCTGAACTGATCGGAACACGCTTGAGCTGCCTGAATTGAACTGATTTTGAACAGATGCACCCCGAGTAATATTTTTCCCTTTGCAGTGCAGCCCGATCTTTCGCTCGGTGGCCGCTGTGCGTCACATGAGTCTCATTCTGCCAGCCAACTCGATCTTTCGAAAAATCCAAGCTAACTATAGGCACGGTGTCGACACTCTGTACTTCGTGTCGGTAGGTTCTAGGTTTAGTAGCCATTATGACCATAATGGCCATTATGGCCTGATGCAGTAGGGTTAGGGGTACTGTTTTATTATCCGGGGGAGAATCCATATTCTCGCTATTTGCAGGATTTCTTTGACGAAATCCGATATAGCATCGAAAAATATGCGAAGGGTTTTTATGGCATCTGAAAAAGACCTAAAATAAAAAATTACGGTGAAAAACAAGACTAACTATTGGAAATTAGACTGGAACCCTGGTTTTCGACATTTTACAATACAAATTCAATAGAGCGTACAAATACTAAGAGTCCTCATTTTATTTTGACACGATGTACTATCAAAAAGTTCTATCAAAAAGAAGATTTAAACGTGGTTTCCGCATAAGAACGTTGTATGGGAGGCGAGTTTTCGACATTTTCGATATTTTTGGCAGAATTTCTTGAACACGACCCGATAGGGCGTCAAAAAAAACTAAGAGTTGTATTTACACCGCGAAAATAATGGAAAAGAAGCAAATTGCATGGCAACACCTGGGAATTCCCCGCACAGTTTGCTCGCCCCCCCGCATAAAAAGAACAGTATCGGGGTAGGACTGCAAAATATTGGACACTGCAAAGAAACCCCCAATTTATCAAGTCGGCCCACGCTATACAGGTGTCCCAAAAAATCGACCCCTAAAGCAGGCCGCAGTCATGTCCGATTTTGACGATTTAGGTATCTATTGAAAGCTCTCGAAAAGGCGAGATAACAGGCGCTTTTCGTTCTTCAATATAGGCATCTTAATTCACGAGATTGAGGGCGAAAATCCATGAAAACTGCAGATTTTCTTCCAAAGCACCATGTTAATTGCTAGTTAGAGTTAATAGGACGACGCTGGTGTTTTTAAGAAATCGCTGATTATCGAGCGCGGACTAAAAAATTTAGTAAAACGAAATGCGCTTGTTTCTCGCCTTTCCAAGAGTTTTCGAATGTTGTAAAAATCATGCCGATCCGGCCTTTCTCCGGGCCGCTCAAAGGGCGGTCGATTTTTTCGGGACACCCTTTAGACTGTCCATACCTGTTTCCCCTTGCGTGTTGACTCACTGGTGTTGCGCTTTCCGCATCCAATTCCCGGGT